GATACCGCAATTCACTTTTTATATATAAAATCAATATAAAAAAGTGAATTCTGATACCGCAATTCACTTTTTATATATAAAATCAATATAAAAAAGTGAATTCTGATACCGCAATTCACTTTTTATATACAAAATCAATATAAAAGTGAATCTCAATATCGCAACTCACTTTTATTATAAAATCAAATTAAAAAGTGAATTATAACTTTATAATACCATAACTCATTCATATTATATAAAATCATAGTTTCAGGTCAACAGGTCATTTAGGTTATAAGATGTTATAACCTGAACTGATGCTGAATTGCAATTGCTAAACCTAACCTGATAAATTCAGGTCAATCTGTCAGGTTACTTGAATTTGATCAACCTGTTCAGAACTCTAATCTGGTATTTCTCATTAAAAGAAATATAAAAAAATGTTTTTTTAGTTAAAAATGTTAAACCTGACTAAAGTTCTGAACAGTTCTGGGTTGAACTGGGAACTGATTTGAAACTGACTAAAAATTCAGTTTGGTTTTCAGTTCGGGTTTAAAACTGGAACCGTTCAGTTCGATTCGATTCTATTTTATTTTAAAAAAAATGTGAAAATTGAAATAATAAAAATGAGCAATAGCTCATTAAAATCATCTCATCAAGATGCGTCAAATGGTGGTAAGATCATTTTTCTAGCTTTGATATATCACGAAATAATCGATGCTAAATATATTTTAAGAAATTAGTGCTAGAATCGTATCTATCGATCCTAGAGAAATGATCTTGTTATCATTCGATAGGTCTTAATGAGATGAATCTAATGAGTAAGGGTGCAAACTTAATGACGTGACATAACATCAAGTTACATCACATCATAGACATATATTAGATGTAACTTAGAGTATATTTGACATAATTTCTAAAATAATGATTTATAACATATGACGTAACTAAAAAAATTGATGTGATATATGAAAATATAAATTTCATTATAATTGTTTATTATTTATTATTATGATTTATGATTAATACAATATTAGATCAGTGATTATTGATCAGTTTCCAAAACTTCAAGTAATAGGATCAAAATTCATATTTCCATTTCTTTTATCTACATTATCATTATTTTCTAAATTTACAGTTTCTATATTATCAAATGTTTGTGAAAGATCAATAAAATCTTCCAATACTAAATTAGTACATGTCTGTATTTCCATTTCTCTTCTTCCCTCTAATAATATATTATCAGTGATGTCATCATCTTTATCATTTAAAGAAATAATATTACCAACCGCAGAAATATTAGCAATTTCTCTCAATTCTGCACTACTCAAATCTTTTTCATATATAATATGACAGTTTATTTTTAATACTTGCTAGATGATAAGAACGAATTTTTGATATACCTTCTAGTTTTTTAATATCAAGTCTTACACGTCTATCTCCAATTATCCATTTAAGCATGGAAAAATTTCGTTCACAGTCTGCTTGTGAAGATACGCCTGAACTTTGGTGAAATTCTATAAGATTAAAAAAATGCTATATATGACATCTTGCATTTCAATTAAAATTCAATACATAATCCAGATCATAGGGTTTTAATTTTTGGTCAAAATGCCTAAATTGAGTGAGAAGTTACTTGCATTCTTTTTCAGACTAACCCAAACTTTGCCAAAGAGTTGTAGCAGTAATTGCTGCATCTCTGAATCCATCATCATTAATACCAAAACCTAAAAAAAAATTATTTTAATAATTTGTTTTTCAAAAAAAAAACAGTAATTATTAATAAATAAATGCTGTATTTTGATAATAAGGATAAAGATAATAACATAGAAGATATGCAGGATACTAAAATTTAAGATAGCAATGATTGAATATTTGAATTGCTGCAGATTTATAAGGATTTGAAGAAGGAAATCAAAATATAGCAACAGCCAATTTAATCATTTAAATAAAACAATCAGCTAAAGAAGCTGATTTTGCTTCAAGTATATTGATGCATTCCTTAATAGGAGTCCAAACTGAACGAATCTGATAACAGGTTGTGAAAAACTCTTCATCTTGCATCAAAGAGTAAATATCAGAATTTGAAATTATATTATGATGTTCTAATAATATCTATATATAATTAAATTTTGTTAATATTTAAAAAATAAATACTATTTTAATAAAACAAGTAATAATAAATTTTACCCAGTCAAAAACAGGACGAGCACGTAAAATTGAATCTGTTGTTGCATATAATGAGCCCATTTGGTTTTACACCATGTTTACAATCCTTCAGTATTAATTTTCATATTATTTAGGCTTTAAGATAAAATTGCAGAAGCTTAATGTGAATTATTAAAAAATCTTGTAATTTTTTCACAATTTGATATCAAATCCTTAATATTGTCAAGCTTTACAAAATCAGCTGCTATTAAATTAATTGCATGAGCTATGCATCATATATCTCAAATATGATTATATTTTTCTTCTACTTTTTTTCCTAATAACTCGGCAATTTAGAGGCATTATCGGTTATTATAGCAGCAAATTTATCTACACTAAATTTCTGAAGCAAGAAATTCTCCTGTATATGATTCTATAGAATAGTTGTGTAATGCAACTAAATATTCTTTTCATTCAGGAGTCACTACAATATAATTATAAAGGGATTCACTGTGTTTGGATGTCCAACCATCTAATGCTAATCAATAAATTGTTAAAGTTAGTTATCAAAATTTTTTTAAATAATAAATAAAAAAAACCTATAAATTTTCTTACTTAAAGTTAAACCATCTGTCACCTTTAACTCAGATTCAATTTTCTGATTAACACGTGTAACTTCATCATTTAATAGTCAGTTAGATAAAGTAATACAAGATGGTAGTACGTAATCTGAATTTAAATCTTTAAATAAATCTTGTCTACCTTTAATTAAAATATTAATTTTACTATATTTTTATTATACAAAATACTATATAATATACTTTTTTTTTTTTTTTTTTTATATGTTTTAGGAGACATCAGCATAGCCGGTTCACTAGAGCTACATGAAGGAAGCACTACAACTTAAAGTTGCGAAAATGCACTCTTACCGTTGAGCGACAGCTAACTAAGCACCTACTCTAATTATTTAGAAGTAACCGGATGTACATCCTCCTTACCCCCTATATATCACACTGGGAAGACGACTCAAGTTTATACCCACACAAGGATAGATCGTAGTGTAGCAGAGTTTCTAACACAGTTATACTACCCACTAGCGCCCGTCAGAAGTGAGCAACCACCCACGTACGGCAAATATAACGGAGTAGACATCTAGAAGTCCTTCCATGATGGTTAGCTTAGAGGTACTGCAATACTAAGACTACTAATATGGCCTCACTCAAAGCTCACTACAGGCCGCGATTACCATACCAGCCCACCATAATTGTAAATCCCCCAGTAGTAATAGTAGTGACTATCAGGACAGTAAGCTGCTAAGGGTACTGGGATCACCCCTTTATTATAAGTAACCAACCCAGTTACCTAGGGATCACCCACCAGTACGTCAAATTCACTGAGGAATTGAACCTCACCTTAGAACCTTATATACCTGTGAGCCTACGAACGTCTCCAATCAGTCTAAACCTATTAGAAGGTAAACTACTGCTAAGACATTGCACTTGAGACTTTACCATCTATGAGGACCATCTAGCGTAGTAAACCCCTACAGTAAAGTTTACCACATCCTTAATGGTATCGTAGAGTGACCACCAAGACAAGAGCTCACCCAGATGGTATGCAAGCAGTGACCATCCAGACAGGACAATAGGCTTCCCAATGGCCTCATAGGGAACGCTAGGAGGACACCATGACCCTTTGTTGAAATATGCCGCCGACTGGTACATACTAATTCACCATGATGCAGTCCAGCCTACACTAATCCCTGTACTTTCTAAAGATGTTAGCCGTAATTCAAAAAAGTGTCGTAATACAAAATTTTTATATGCTGTAATTAATTAAGGCTATAAAAATCTTATAGCCGTAATTCAAAATTTTTTAAAAATAATTAAGGCTAACATCTTTAGTACCTTCACACTATTGGTAGTAG